TTTTTTTTTCTTTAATCATTTTAACATATTTTAGTTGAATTCGGTTTAATTTTTCTATCAATAAAAAAAAGAGGTACCCCCGAACCTCGAAAATTTTACCCTCTCCCTCGACATGAGCCCCTCGAACCTCGACGCTCGACAAAAAGTTAGACTGTACGTTCGTTTCTTTGATGAACTGCTCGATTTAATTAGAATTTCTGTAAAAGGTATGGAAACACTGTCACCTTCGAATGCAATTTTGATCACAGAAACGCTTCAGTAATAAGTGTTCGCACAACCACCGCTTGTTGAGCAGAGAACACGAACAGAACAAACAACGACAACTCCACAGACCTGGAACTTTTCTTTTCTTTCTCCGCTTTTCTTTCTTTCTTTCTTGGACTCCTATACATAAATTTGTAAGATAGTTAGCTCATGATTCTGATCATGATAGAAACAGACAGATAATAGCTGCTCGAAGCTATTTCTGTTTATTTCTGTTTCACACGCGCTGATCTATTCAAAACCACGCCGCCAAAACATTTCTATCACAAAGTCACAAACACAGAATTTATAGACGTACGTACCTTTCCGGCTCATGCTTATTCTTGCGCATCTCTATGCTGGCAAAGATTGATAACGATCTATTGAGAATTTATCCCATGTGATCTCTCGAGATGTCTGATTTCGAGTGATTGAATCTGGATTGAATGAAAAAGAGACCACGTCGACACCACGTGCAACATGTGACTCTTTGAGCGATACTAATGACATGTGCCTGAAGGAAGCCAGTAACTGCAACCACCGCGACTATTGAGACTACGACCTAGAATAAGGATACTTTATATTATCCTTCTTTGAAGTTACCTAAAATCCCAAACTTAGTTCCAATTGCGCCCAAACAGGAAAAGAATCCAAACCTCCGACTACAAAAGCGCAAAGGGGGAAAAAAGTCGAAAAGCCCGGTCGAAATGGTGTCTGACAAAGACCGATAAGAGGCCCTGGAACCATCACAACAGACTGGATTACATCAACCTGAATTGTGGATTACAATGATGGTTGGATTGCGGACTCCATTAGCTGCATTCCGGATTCCAAAGCCATGGATTCGGATTCCAGAGACGAAAATTACCTGGATTCCGGATTCCGGATTACCTTACATGGGGCGATATATCGCTGAGCTCAAACGATATATCACTCAGGGAAACGATGAGTCGCGAGGAGCTGAACGATTTATCGCCGATGTTAAAATAATACCACAGGATATAACGCCGATGTATCGTTTGAAACACTCTTCCAAGAAACATATTCTATACTATCTAATCAGCAAGTTAATCAAAAGTGTTATTTTCTTGACCGAAAACCATAAAACGTGTTTTTTCGACTGAGATAGTTTCTGTCCTGCGTGACAAACGCTTGAGTATGTTAAATCTGGAGTAGTATCAGACTGCTTCCCGTCTTCGACGTCTTAGGCAAAGAACATTCTACCTATTGGTANTAGAAGTAGCTACCATAAATGAGATTCACTTGCTCCATGATCTACACTTTACTATGCAACTAGCAGGGCACCTCAACATTCGATATCTCTCATTTATACTCACAAGCCTGCTGTTGCGAGGGGAATTTTCCATGGAAATGACATCAATTCTTTCCCATTGCAGTTCACTCGAAGCAGATTGTTGTTTGTTCCCTTTAAAATGCTGCACTCACAGGGGCCTGGGCACCCTGAATTTTAGACATAAAGGATCGTTCAATAAATTTAATGCCTTAAGAAAGCGTAATTATCATAATCACAGAGTTTGCGTTCCATCGGTAAAGAAATCATTTTAAAATCGAGGAAAATTTGCTTTAAGAGGAAAGAGAGATAGTCTCCAAAGAAAGACAAACACTACAAAAATGTTAGTCTGAAAATCAAACAAACAAAACAGTGGATGGTTCATGGTGGAGAGCAACGAGAGAAGATGATTAATTAAACTTTACAACTAAAACAAACTTTCTCCTCAAACTGTAGCAATACAAAGGGGTTCAGTCCTCCTAGACGCAAAAGAACATTGAATAACTCTGATAAATAGGTCTCATGCTCGGCTGGTGGGATAAGATTGATATTTAAATGGCACAAAGCGACATGTGGATATATTAGAATCAGTGCCTTTAAACGTCAGGTCTCAACTGATGGGAGGGAGGCAGACCAGTTGACAATATAATACCATAATAAATTAAGGGGCAACCAAGAACAAATTTCATAGTGTAGAACAGCGGGGCAGCTTGAGGGAGCCGCTACATCACGGGTGACGAGCCGGGGAGGAGAGTTGCTTAGAAATTTAACAAGATGCTACGCAATTCATTAAACAATACAGGTTAAGGCAATAAAATCAATCATTTATATAGTTATATTACACTGGTGTAAGAAAAAAGCTCACTTTCAATGTTGAGGCTGATTTCTCTCCATGATATCTTTTCACCTCTTCGTACCTCACAGCTGTAATTTGCAGTATTTTCGGCAGTTTCAAGAAGCTGATATCTGATACTGGTGCTATTTTGTACAACAACACCATTTTTTCTCCACACAATGTATGGAGCTGGCGCACCTTCCACTGGGCACCACAGGCTGGAAGTTCTGTTCAAAAGTACATACTGTGTCTTGGGTACCTCTTTCATTGTGAGTGTTGCTACATAAGGCAATTGATAAAAAAATATKTTTTTTAAGGCAAGTAACTGCTAGATTGATAATCTGTACCATACAGAACAAGCAAACTGTAGGCATGATACGCAAATTCAAAACATTGTACGTGCAATTGAAAATATCATTGCAATATGAGAACTATTTATTTATTTATTGTTTTTTTTTTTGATGATAAAGTCATAAAGAACTTTGTCGATCGCTTTCTCTGTCTGTTTCTCTGCGTCTATCTGTGGCTGTTAGTCTGTCTATTTTCATCTAACAAATAGAAAACCCTTGTATGTGCTCTGTTCTAATGTAAAGCACGCAGGAAGCGGCTAGAGCACGAAAGGATTGAAAGGAGAAACACGAGACGTAGTTCAGTGTTTCTCCTTGCCTCTTGAGAGCTCTCGCTTTCCTCCTGCGTGCTTCACAACAGAACACGGCATGCCGCAATCGAATGCCTCTATTTATTTTACATTAAAGAATCTGTGAAGGTGTAGTCTGATCGTCCGGGTGAGTGTAGTCCTGAGAAGGACTGTTGTCGGTGGCAGTGACTGACGTTTCGACAACCTGTGCGGAAGTCATCATCAGAGTCAAGTGAGTGATTGTTGTCAGTAGAATGTTCTTATTCCAGTTCGTGTGAAATGATCGGTTGGTTTTGCCGTGATGTTATTGGCTGTAAGACTCAAGTGACGTAAGTCGTTCGTGATTGGTCTGTTTCGGTCTGTCGGTAAAGCTAGGTTGTTCTTTTTCGGTCGTTTGTGATGTTTATGTCGTGAATGAGTCGTTTGTANTAGGGAAAACGATTTTTGAAAGTCTGCTGGAATATATTGGTGAAATATTGAAATATTGGTGATTTTAGAAGCGTTCCATAAGCTCCAAATTAAATGAAATGGTCCCGTTTAAGACTTGAGTAACACTTTAATCCTTCCTATACAAAAGTATCAAACTGGTACGAGCTTGCTTTCTTTAATTTGCGTTTATTATGAACAAAGCTCATTTGGTTATATCCGAGGCACTGCTTTCATTTTACGGCTACCGACGCCCGTTTCAGTTTCGTGAATAATCTAGAAAGAAGCCAGTCTAAATTTCTAAGTTCACTTTAAGGTATCTCTGCGAAAAATATCAAGCCCCAAACAGTTTGTTTCCAAACTATCAGCCTTTATTCGAAAAATATCAAGGTTTTGGATTTTCGACTGTGTGCAACATTTTTCGATTTTCACTCGGTCAACTCAAAAATTCGCTCTTAAGCTGTCAAAATGTGAAACCATCAAAGTTCTCATTCTGCAATAGTTCACAACCAGAAATAGTTTGGCAAATTTATGGGTGAACGGCAGCCGAATTCACAGGAACATGAAGATTGCTCGGAGTGACAGCGCCATAAAACTCAGCTACTGAGACTGATGTGGCCTTCCACTCATACAAGTAGCAGCAAAAACGATATCAGAGCAAGCTCTTAGTTCATTTCACTCGAAGGGCGGGTGACGTAATTTCTGAGGCTTGCTATACTGCGATGATCAGAGACTGCCGTGATGAGCTAGCCGCGATGAACCTCAGCCTGATTGCAGTCGCTCTGACACCAACATTAGGATTTGCATGAATTTTAACATTTCTGCCAGTTTGTTTATACTTTTCATCATTCCAGTTTTGTTCTGTTTTGTTTTACTAACACGAAACCATGTATATTACATGGGTGTTAGCTGTGTTTTATTTTTATTACCGTACATCAGCTTACGATCGAACTGAGCGTGAAAACCTTCAAAACTTGGACTGTCCATTTCGTTTTCTCTTTGAGGATTTTCGTCTCTACTCACGTTATAAGAATGCAAATTACGGCGCCTGGCATGTTTACAACCTTTTTTTGGCTCTTCCGCTGTTGCTACTTGCCGGCTCGCTTGTTCCGAAATTTCACTTTCATTTAATGGAATAAAAAAAAAAATTAAAAAAATAGCATTTTCACTCACGTGACCAAATTTCTTTATCGTGATGGTAACCGACTTCATCCGCTATCTTGGTGTTCCATGATAACCAGCAGTGAGTATCGTGACAGTAAACTTTTGGAGCACATTTTACAGTTTTGAGAAGACGTTAGTGGAATATTTATATTTTCTTTACTATGGTTCTTTGCCATGTCATTAGTTGTACGAACAAAACAGGGAAGAAGCGGTCTAACGTCGAAAAAGTAAGGTTTTGTCGTGTCCCATGTGCTATAGTCAATCAAGGAGCCGGAGTGCACCGAAGAACTTACTTCTGAGCGATGAAGAATGTGGATCTCTGCGACAAGTAGAGATGACTTAACTGATGATATTTTAGAACGCGATAGGGTCTGCAGCCGGCACTTCGTTTCAGGAGAAGCTGCGAAAGATCGGTAGTCGTCAAATTGTTGATGGTTTCATCCAAATTTCGTTGAAGTTTCTTTGCTGACCGAAAATCAATGTCAGCTATTGGGGCATAAGGAACTTCTTTCACATCGGTTGGTTACAGCC